CCCAGGGGGGATGGCCACACCGCAATCCCTTCTCCTCCATTCTCCTCTCGGGATCTTGGGCATGCATGCACATGTGCCCAGCGTGAGTTTAAGCCACCAGGCCCGGGACTCGAACTGTGGTTGACTACCTACATGAGAGTCCAGCCATGTAGCCATATGACATCTACTGGTCCCTTGCATATTTTTTTTATAGTATTTAAAAAAAAATTTTTTTTATAATAGAGGTTGAGACAGTGAAAGAGAAAGTGAGAAGTTACCTCCCCAGGGGGGATGGCCATGCTGCAATCCCTTCCCTTCCATTCTCCTTCCAGGATCTTGGGTGTATGTGCACACACACACACACACACACACACACACACATGCCTGACATGAGTTTAAGTCACTGGGTCCAGGACTGGAACTGCAGTTGGCCATGTGAGAGTCCAGCAATGTAACTGCTATGTCATCTCCTGGCCCCATTTTTTTATAATATGTATTTTGCGTGAACTTTTTGAAGACCCTGCATGTAGTGTTTTTATAGCCATTTGATTCTGATTTGATATTTTGCATTTTCATTGCCTCTGTAATCCAAATATTTCATTTTAAGAAATTTTTTCAAGAGTATAGAAATGGGGGGGAGCATAGCTTCTGATCGATATCTACATTTGTTGTATTGCTACAGTGACCTGCGAAGTAAACTTGCATTTGAAGAAATGCATCTGAAAATGGTTAGAAAAACTCTGGTCTACCTCAAGTTCACACCTTTGTACTGATAAATTGAGGCTCCAGTAAACTCATGGCAAATGGACGATTAAAAGACAGATTTGAAAACCCTTGATCTAGAGATCTTTTACCACTCGGCATCTCAGCTCAGCACGGCTCCCCAGAAGGGCATTTCCATCTTTGACCAGACCTCTCTTTCTATCCAAAGCCTGGACTCTGCCATCACCGCTTCTGATCGAGATCCTCCCTTAGTGGGGCATCCTGGCTGGGTGGGGCCTGTGGCTCAGGCTCTGCTAGTGAGAACTGGAAGACACGCATTCTGACTCACACCCCAGCTCTCCACCCCTCAGCCCATCCCTGTCTCATTTGCATTCATTTATTATCTAGAGGAGGAGGAGGAGGAGGAGGAGGAGGGGGGATGATCGTAGGGCTGTTGGAGAGACACGGGAGATCCCAGGAAACCCCGGGACCTGAGGGACATCCGATTAGACTGGTGAGGACCAGAGGTTCTGGGACTCTCCAGGAGAACCGTGTCACCCGTCGGGCACAGCGGCCCTGCTTCAGGTCCAAGTGGTGATGTGAGGCGCGATGTAGGGGAGCCGTGTCCCATAGGACCCCACTATGCTTGGTGCCCATGGGGACGGGGGTCTTCGGCTTACTGGGGGGGCAGGACCTCAACTGGAACCTGGGGAGCAGAGGGGCGGACCTGAGGCCCTGGGCCGAGCAGGGGCGCCCACTCTGCGCTGGGCATCTCTGCGCAGGCGCGTCAGGCTGAGCCTAGGCTTCGACGGGAAAGGACCGAAGCTCGGCTGCCCGGGGTTGGCGGGCCGCGAGGTGCAAGGAAAAAGGCCGACACACACGTGCATTAACCAGGACGTTTATGGCCTCGGGCTCTGCCACAGCTCGGCAGCTCTGAGGAGCTGCCCGGCCCTAACCTAGGGGGGGAGCAGGGTCGCCCAGGGCAGAGCCGG